CAGTTCAGTGACATTAGATACATTCACACAGTTGTACAACCATCACCACCATCCACCCCCAAAGCTCTTTCATCTTCCCAGACTGCAATTGTCCCCATGAAACCCTGACTCCCCATCACCCCTCCCCCAACCCAGGTTGGCTTTCATGGGTGGATTAGTCTGGGTTGGGAACACAGACCAGATGACTGGGTGACCGATACAAGGACCATGTCCCTAGATCACCCCTCCCCCATCCCCTTCGTCTGCATTGAGACTCCCACTCAGGCAGCCTGAGAACACTTAGAAATTCATTCCAACTGCCCAGATTGGCAATTCCACGGAAACTTCCCAAGCGCTGGGGGTGGCTGTGGGCGGGAGAACGGGGGCTGCTAGGTGGGTGCGTCTGAAGCCCCTTCGTGCTGAGATGCTGCTTGTCCCCATCTCAACAGTGCCGTGGGGGTGGGGAGGCTTCCCGAGCCCCTCCTGACACAGCTCTGGGTAAAAGTCGGAAGAGAAATGAACTTAACGTTGGAATTACGGGACCGTCTGGACAGAGGACTTTTGAGGAGTCAGCGCGTAAGGTGGAATTGTACAAGTGAGCCTCTCTGGGCACCTTTGGCTGAAGGTTGTCAGGAGAGTGTTTTTCAATTCATGTTGCTGCTCCAGTCAACCACTTAGCATAAAATTGCCCATAAAAGTGAACTTAAATTACAAGTGATAAAACCATAGCCCCCTCTCCCCTCGACTGACCCTCTCAGCTCTTCTCTGGACGAGCTCAGATGCCTCCTGACGAGAGTAATGAGGAAACTGCAGGCGCATCTCCAGTGCAGTCACTGTAAACTGAAAATCTTTGTTTTCTGTGGCTGCGGGGATGGTGGGGCTCCTCGTTAACTCCCCCTGGGAAGGGGACCTGCTGTCTCTGGGCTGATTTGTCTCTCTTCCTCTTCTTCCTGCCATGATGTCCTTTGGGGACCGGTGGGGCCACTTGTGTCCAGGTCAGACCAGGAGGTCTTGATAAGCCTTGGAGATGCCCACATGAGCCCTGGATTCCTCTTGCTCACCCGCCCCTTCTCTCCTAACATGCTTTTCTTGACCATATTTTCAACCTTTAAACCAGTTCTTCCTGGGGGGTTCACCGGGTTCATTGCTTTGTTAATTCATTCATGAACACTATACTTATTGGGTCAGATCCTGTCCCAGCTCTGTGCTTTCAAAGGTAATCTAGCCCTACCCTGGGGGGAGGGGTGCCCAAGTGAGGAGGTGACTCAAGTCTGTGCAGAAGGATGGTAGGGAGGACAGTGGGATGCTGGGGTGGGGTACCAAGGAGAAGGGCGTCTCACTCTGTTCAGAGGGCCAAGGAAGGCTTCCTGGAGGAGGAAGGTGAAAGTCGCTCAGTCCTGTCTGACTCTTTGCAACCCCATGGACTGTCCATGGAATTCTCCAGGCCAGAATACTGGAGTGGGCAGCCTTTCCCTTCTCCAGGGGATCTTCCCAACCCAGGAATCAGACCAGGGTCTCCCGCATTGCAGGCAGATTCTTTACCAGCTGAGCTACCAGGGAAGCCCTCCTGGAGGAGGAAGCAAGGTTTGAGTCAAGAGCAGGAGGTAAGAAGGCTCTGAGGAGGCTCAGATGCAGCCAGGAGTGACTGGCCAGGTTGACACTGTGGAAACGTCTCTCCACAAGAGAGTCAGGCAAGACTAGAGGGAGGCAGACGGGAGAGGAAATGATTTCCAGATTCCAGCTGAAAACGACCGGCTCCTTAGGTGAGGGGTATGTGTATGTTGGGGTGGGAGCCAGGAATTTCCAGACTTGGCAATTCAGAAGGTGAAACTGATGACTGAAGTCATAACAATCAGTGGAACTTTCACTCTCCTTGCCTCACTCGATCTTATCAACAACCTGGTGAGGTAGGCATTTTTTGTCTTTTGCTGATGAAAAAGATGAAATTCCTAGAGGCTATGATTCCTCCAAGGTTAGCAACAAAACTGGGACTGGGGCTGATCTCTGCTGGCAGCCTGCAGCTCCCATTTCAGATGTCGCTGTGGACTGATGACACACCACTGTACTGTCTGGTGCCCGGGGAGTCTGGGGAGAAAGGAGAGCTCGGCCAGTGGGAGTGTGGGTGCTGGAGCCTACTGCCTGGGTCCCAATCCCAGCTCTATTCCTCCCTGGTCTGTGATCCTGGGTAAATTACTAAACCTGTTTCTTAATCTGTAAAGAGGGGAGCAGGTTAGGAACGGGTCTGATCTCATAGGGTAGCTGTCCAGACGAAAGGGATTGATGAGTTAATGAGTTGAAAGCCTGTAGAATGATGCCTGTGTTCAGAATGGTAGCCACGAAGGTGAGGGAGATGATGATAGAGGCTCTAGAACATCAGTGTGGAGTCATCCTCCCAGGAGAGGACTATGACTTGTTCATCGGGCCTCCCAGTGGCCCTGTGTCTGGGGCTGGGGCTGGGGCCAGGGGTGTGGCTGGGGCCCGTGACTTTGTGGTACCACTCATGGCTACAGGGGGACAACACGTTGCCTGGTAACCAGCCAGAAAGGCAGTGTGGGGAAATCATGTGACTGGTGCAGGTAGCAGCAACTAGACCCACCTACGGGTTATATTTTCAGAATTGTCTTCATTTTTCCCAGACCCAGATTCCATGAGGGAGGAGCAGCCACCCCCTCCCTCACTTCTGCAAGAGGCGTCATCACTTTGTCTTTCTATTTGTGGTTCTCAATGGAGTGGAGGCAGTGGGGAGGGGGACCAGGGTCTGTCCTCAACCCAGAGCTTCTATAACCCAGGACAACAATGATGCTCCATCTGACTGGAGGAGTGTGGGTGTGTGTGTGTGAGAGATAGCCATCCTTGAAAGAAAACAGGATCCCACGGAGTAGAATATAAAACCTGCTTGACACTTAAAAAATACCACCAGATATTTCATAAAGTCTCCAGGTTATGGGCACTGCTTCCTGTGATAGCTCCAGACCTCTGAGGTCTAGGCTTTCTGAGGACTTCAACAAAAAAGCTGAAGTATTTCTTCTTTGCTCTCTGAGTATTTCAACAAAAAAGCAGAAGAGGCGGGCCCTGCCTTAGAAGTCCTGGCTTTGAGAATCCTGCCTATGGCCATCTGGTTGGATAGAGGGATCATTGGAGATTGGGTGGGTGGGGAGTGGGGGAGCTTCGCCAGTTTTAAGTTTAAAGATAAGAAACTACTGTGCAAAATAGTTGAGTATTATCTATTAAATTTAACAATTACTCCTTTATAAATACTTGAGAGCTTCAGAATTTTTATTTCTGATTATATATCCCCCAGAATTCTTGCATATGTACATCAGGAGGTATATGTATAAGGATATTTATAATGACAGTGGGCAACAGGAGCAAAAATCAGAAAACAATCCATATGCCTTTCCACTGAATGAATAAACTATGGCATATTCACACACGCACAAGAGAAATGGGGAGAAAATGGTTATAAGATTTTTGCACTCCAGTATTCTTGCCTGGAGAATCCCATGGACAGAGGAGCCTGGTGGGCTGCAGTCTGTGGGGTCGCAAAGAGTCAGACATGACCGAGCGACTAACACACACACACAGTCCCCACTTAGCAGCAAAGGTTCTCACACTTGGGGCGCTCGTGTGGGGAAGCTGAGTGAGGCTGGGGTGCACTGGCTGGTGGGGAGCAGTACAGAGAAACCCCCCTCTGTCTTGCTGCCCTTCTCTGCTGGCACAGGCCAACCCCTGACGCCTTGATCCTCATCTCCCAAAGCTCCCCTTGACATCGTTCCATCATGGCTTTGTCATCAGGTTGTCATAAACGTCGCTGAAAAGGCTGCGCTAGGGCAGTTTGCTCTGGGGGACGGTGCATCCAGAGCCTCTGTTGGTGTGCTGCTGAGTGTGAGCAGGAGAGTGCAGAGGCGTCCAGGTGCCGCTTTTCCATCTGCTTGAATTGTCTCAAGGAGCTCGAGATGTGACCCAGGGAACAGATGATAATCGTGGCCCTTTTGCCGGGTGGATCCCTGCAGGGACTCACTGGGAGGGGGGTCTCACGGATGCCTTCCAGCATCTGGACCACGAACCCAAGGGAGGCAGGAATCAGGGGGAGGTGAGAGGTTTCTGGGTGCCCCCCCAAAAAGGAGGGCTTCCCTGGGGGCCAACACTACTCCCTGCCAGGCTCAGCCACTCAGTACAGACTTACTGAGTCACTGATCTAAAAACCCCATCATCCTTGTAGGGGGTGTGTAGGCAGGCTTAGCCGGGGCTCCTGGAGGGTGGGCAGGGATGAGCAGGACAAAGTTCATGCTGGCACTGTGGGGGCCGGGCAGGGGCCTCTAAGCCTGTCTCCAGGGAGGTGGACCTGGGAGAAGGGAGGCCATGTCCTCCAGGCTCCAGTGTGATGACCCAGAGACTCCGACCTGGGTCACCAGAGGCAGCCCTGTCCCAGAGGAAAACGTGCGAGTAAGTGACCCAGCAGGCAGGGTCCCCCAGTGGGCCAGAGCTGGGCTTCTCCATGGCCAGGAACCAGTCAGCAGAGCAGGATTGTATCTTCTGGGACTTGGGGTTGGGGGCCCTTCAGCTCCAAACAAATGCTGAAGCTGCACTGAGGGCCTCGACTGGTGTTCACGGTATTTCATGAGTGTCCACATCCCCTCTGGGTGGACACAACTCTGTGGGGATCAGGTTTGTACAAATTAACAGAAGGTTCTCTTCCTTCTGGCATGTAGCCCAGGCCAGGTGCAGGCTTGGCAAGGTAGCCCAGGCCGGGTCTCAGTCCCATTTGCCCCTCGTTGGAGGCTCTTGTGCAGTGAAAAACCTATGCAACTGTCCATGGTGGCCCTGTTGGCTTCCTCTACAAGAGTCGGCCAGGATTCATGCACAGACCTTACTTTCCTTTACAGTGTCCCCCCCTCCCCATTTTATTCTGGGCTGTAGGAACCAGGGTGAGGTCCAGATCCCCCAAACACAAGGCTGGATGGGTAAGTGGGTCTGTGGGTCCCTCTTAGGGCTCAGACTCTGAAGGGTTCTTCTCTCAGTAACTTAGGGGTGCCGCCAGGCCGGGGGAACTGCCCGCTCACCATGCCCCTGCCGTTCGACCTCATCTACACCGACTACCACGGCCTGCAGCAGATGAAGCAGCACATGGGACTCTCCTTCAGGAAGTACCGGTGAGAGGGCAGCAGGAGGGTGGTGACTGCCCACTGTTCCCCAAGGTGGGGTTGCACTGTCCGGGGTTCCAGGGTGGAGCTCACCTCCCATGCCCCCCACCCCCTACCTTCCTTCCCGGACAGCTCTGCCTCCTGGCTAGGGCTGACTCGGATGACAATTAAACCACAGCCAGGCGCTCCAGGGCCTCTCTGCTACTGGGCAGGCTGGGGGGCAGCGGAGATGAGGTCAGAGCTGACCCCGCTGGAGAGGGCAGAGGAACAGCAGGGAGTGGTGGAGGGAACATGGCGCAGGATCAGGCATGACCCCTGCGTGTGAGGACCTAGCAACGCACTCCCCACCCCTCCTCCGTCCGGCCCCCTCTTGGGTGGGAGGAAGGCCAATGCCATCGCTCCTCTCTGCAGCCAGCAGGATATGGGGCTTAATTTAGCACAGAGAGCCCTGCTATTTATTACATGTGCTCCAGCCTCATTGACTATCCCACATGATTTTATTAGGAAAAAAAGGGACAGGCAGCGTTATTGCTTTTATTATTAATGCATGTTCTCCATGCACTTGGGGCCTCCTCCTCCCAACCCTGCCCCTTCTCTGGGGCGGGGAGGAGTGCTAACCGCAGCAGTCTGGACACTGCTGGGTCACCTGGAAGGACTCTGGGTGGGGGAGCGCCTTGGACGGGCATCTGAGCCTCAGCGGTTTTCTTTAGGTGCCCACTCCTGGGGTGGCCGAGATGCAGGGAGAGGTTCTGGGCTCTGGCCTCAGGGTGGGACAGAGCCCCCATCGGCTGGGAGGCCCACCTGCAGTAGCCATTCTTGCAGAGACTTTGAGGCACGCGGTAGCTGGTTCCCTGGTGCCCTTCTCTTCTGCATCTCAGCCCAGAGAGGCCAGGCACTTACTGGGGGTGTCAGGCTCCTGAGCAGAGGGGCTGGGGACTCCCTGCCCACGAAAGTGCAAATTGTGCAGGTGAATCCTGGGCAATGAGGAGGGCCCGCATTCCAGGAAGGGCCTCCCCTTCTAGGCTCCCTTGCGGCAGCTGTTAAAACTAATAGTTTCTGAGTTAGTGGTCCATGGTTCACATAAGGCTCTGAGATGATTTGGTGGTTGTTATCCCCCTTTGACTGATGGGAAAGCTGACCCAGAGAGGTTAAGGCACTTGCCTGTGTTCACACAGCCGGCTAGTGTCTGAGCCCAAGCCCTGACCACACATTGCACTACCCTGACCTTTGGGTTCCAGAGCCCATGGCTGGGGCCACCCCAGCCCAGGGAGACACTGGGAGATTGGTGACCCGGGTTCCTGGGGGGCGGGGTGGGGGCAGGTGCCGCATTCGGGTCATCGACACCTTTGGGACCGAACCTGCGTACAACCACGAAGAATACGCCACGCTGCATGGCTACCGGACCAACTGGGGCTACTGGAACCTCAACCCCAAGCAGTTCATGACCATGTTCCGTGAGTGTCCAGCCACCACACGGGGTGGGGCGGGCTGCGTGGGGCCTCTCCCAGGGGTGGGGAGGAGGCAGGTCCCATTCCTTCCTCTCCTTCCTTTCGGAGTCTGTGTGGGGAGAGGGATGCATCCAGCCATCGGCCTTGGCTAAGAAAGCCTCTCAGCAAAGGTGTGAACCACAAAGGAAGCCTCTGGTGGTGTGTGGAGGGGAGGGGCGGCCTGGGGTGGGGGTGGCGCGGCGTGGTGGCCTTTTCAACACCTGGAGGATGCAGCCTTTGTCCTCCTGGGTTACAGGTTGCCCTCAGAGAGCAGCTGAGCACAGGGTTGCAGACCAAAGAGGATTCTGTGGCCTTCCAGAAGCATTCCAAAGTGATGGAGACCTAATGAGTGGTGAGGGGCAGCACAGAGAGGCTTTCTAAGCAGAGGAAACAGATGTAGTGAAGATGGACGTGGAAAGAACAGAAGGTTCTGGAAATGCAGGTGTTCCAGGAGGCTCCAACACTGGGGATGATGAGAAGTCAGGCTGCGGGTGGGGGCTGGAGCCGCTTCGGGCAAGGGAGGCCATTTGAGCTGAGCTTTCGAGATTTTTTAATGAGACTTTAAAATGTGTACACACTGACCTCCCCTCTTCCACGCAGCATGCTGAAAATAATTTAACCTTTTCTTGACAACTCAGGGTCAACAACACTCTATCTCTCTAGCGTGAAGCCTGCCCTGCGGGGCCGGCGGAGGTGTGCAGAGCCGTGTCCCCTGCCAAGTGGCCCCTTGTCCTGTCGCTGTGTGATGTGGTGCTTTTTCTCCTAGTTGGGAGGCTGTCAGCTGTCACTTTTAATCGTTGTTAAGCTATCTGCCTCCCGCGGCATCTTGCACATCTAATTGGCGGCTCTTTGAAGGCTGTGGGTCAGAAAGTCAGACAAGCATCCTCATCAGGATTGTCTCTAAGTTAAGAGTGACTTTGGTTCCAGGCAGGGTCCCGAGGAATTTGCTTATAAGTAAAGTAGCTGATCTTTACTCAGTCCGTCAAGTGACTGCATCCCTTCTGGGTGTTTAGTGACTTCTTTTGTGTTACTCTTCAGGTTCTAGGCTGCATTAGAGGTAGATGAGATTTTTGAATAATACACAAGCTTGATTTGGGGAAGGAAATGGCAACCCACTCCAGTATTCTTGCCTGGAAAATCCCATGGTTAAAGGAGTTTGGCAAACTGCAGTCTATGAGGTCACAAGAGTTGGACACGACTGAGTGACCAAACCACCACTAGTGGCTTGATTGGGAAGGTGGGACGTTTCCTTGGAGCCCAGATGAGGAAACTGAGGCCCAGAGAGGTGGAATGTCCTGTCTGAAGTCACATGGTTTTGTGGGTGCCAGACTCCCTCCCCAGGGCCCATTGCAGGGCTGCATGAGGCTTCTCCATGAGAAGAGTGACTGTCCTAACAGGTCATCTGGTGGCAGTGTGCTCCCAGCCGAGAGATTGGAGTGGGGTGGGTGGGTAGTGGTGGTGATGCTCTGGACTGTAGAAATAGCATATGTGACAGCAGAGAGGAAACAGGATCTGGAAGCAGAGAGGTGGCTCTTTAGCAACGATTCCTAAGTTTATATTGGATATGGTAATTTGAGAGTCACTGCATGTTCCTGAGCTAGGAAATGTCACAAAGACTTTTTTGGTGGTTGTTGTTGTCATGCCATGTCGCTTGTGCTTTGCTTGTGGGATCTTAGTTCCCCAACCAGGGCAAACTCCTACTCATCCTCCAAAACCCCAAGTCAAATCTCTCTCTCTTTTTTTTAATGTCTCTTCTTTTTACCAGCACTTTCACTAATCACCTTATCTATTCCAGGCAGAATGTGTTTATAACTCTTAAACCTAATTCTGTTAAAGCATATATTGAAATATGAGTTATTTGCTTATACATTTATTTCCACTGATAGCTTAGAAAACACTCAAAAAGGAGCCACTGACTGATTTAGCTTTATTTCCCTGGAGCCTATTGAGGTCTTCAGAAAATGTTAATTGATTCAATAAATTAAAGAAAGAGAGAAAGAAACACAGACTTGCCTGTCTTAATGATATCCTAAGTCCAAGAAGGAATTCATGAGCAGACCTCTTTCCAATCTAGCTGGTTGATTTACCCAAAGAGCCACTGGGAGGCTGGCTGCCTCCCTCCACCTTGCCCTGCCCCCAGGAGCTCTTTTTCATGGTCCCTGTTATTTTAATTGGTTGCAATACTTCTCTGTCCCATGTCTACTAGTTTAGCTAATTTTTCTAAACCTGTCACTTCTCATGGAGTTGGCAAAAAGAGATTTTCTTGAAAATGGGAGAAAATGGTGAGCAGGAGGGAGGCCTTGTTGCAGCCCCAGCTGGAGCCGGAGAGTAGGTACAGAGGCGAGGGTGGGGCTGGGGAGGCAAACTGAGACAGGGAGAGGAGTCTGTCTGCCCTCCTGGGGCTTCTCCCTGGCCTGGGCACAGCCTCCTGAGACAAGAGAGCTTCCTGAGCTCTCAGCATCACAGAAACAACTCCTGGCCTCCAGCCCCTCCCTCTCCCCACCCCCACCCCCAAGCCTCTGAAACCCTAGTGTGCGCTTAGTCGCTCAGTTGTGCCTGACTCCTTGCGACCCCATGGACAATGGAGCCTAGCGGGCTACAGTCCATGGGGATTCTCTAGGCAAGAATACTGCAGTGAGTTGCCATGCCCTCCTCCAGGGGATCTCCCCTAACCCGGGGATCGAACCCAGGGATCGAACCCAGGTCTCCCGCATTTAGGTGGATTCTTTACCATCTGAGCCACCAAGGAAGCCCAAGAATATTGGAGTGGGCAGCCTATCCTTTCTCCAGGGGATCTTCCCGAGCCAAGGATCAAACTGGGGTCCTCGGCACTGCAAGTGGATTATTTATCAGCTGAGCCACCAGGGGAGCCCAGAGGGGAGATCATTTTGTTTTGCAGCCAGCAAAGACTTGTCCTTACAATGGTCAGATTTTCACACTCAAGAATCCAGGAGCTTTCTGGATAGAAAACCACCATCTCTTCTAAGATGCACCAGATATTGATTAAGAATTTTGTGGGTATTGGGGGGTTGGGTAGACATACTATGTTAAATCTACACATTTTAATTAAAATATACATCCCAGGACTCCCCTGGCAGTCCAGTGGTTAAGACTCTGTGCTTCCACCTCAGGGTGTGCGACTTCGATCCCTGGTAGGGGAACTAAGATGCCACATGCCGAGTGGCACGGCCAAAAGAAAAAAAAAGTATATCCTAATTACAGAAATGCTAAAATGTGAAAAACGTGCATCTGAAATGAAGAAAGGGGGTGTTTGGCCTCAGGGTTATTCTGGGAAATCAAGGCCATATGGCTGCTGCCACCCTATTTCGCGCATGCAACCTCTCCCACCGGGAAGGTAGAGTAGGTGTAATTCGGTTCCATAGGCATTCTGCTCGAGGTCCTTTGCATGGACGAGGGAGACCGTGGTCCTTGCGGATGGATGGCACCTGTGCCCACTCATTTAGCCGGCCGCGGCAGACAGAGCTAATCAGTGACATGCCTGGAGCATGGCGGAGGAACTGGAGCTGCAGCTGAAACGCACATCCTGCCCCTGGTGCTCTGGGTTCTGGGAAGCGAGTCAGGGTGCGAATCCGCACTTTGCCGGAGACTTAAGCAAGGCGGACAAGCCAGCAAAGGGAGGGCACTCAGACCCCAGAGAAGGCTCCTGGGAGTAGAGGAAGTGACGTGCGATTGGGGCCCTGAAGCGGAACACAGTTTTCTCATCGTGGAAAAGGGCAGTGGGCGCTTAAGCGAAGGGCAGGGGCAGAAGCTTGTAGGTGTGAACGCGAAGATGGGTCCGCGCATGCGTGAACCAGCCGGGCCAGGCACTCCCAGGGGCCGGGGACACAGACAGCTCCTGCCCTCTTAGATTCTGACAGTAACACACGAACAAATCACTATGTACTGTCGTGTCTGATCAGTGAGTTCTGGGGCAAAAGATAAAGGAGGGAAAGGAGACGGAGAGGGGCGGGGGTCAGGAAAGACCTCTCAGTAGGGCCCTGTGAGCACAGGTCTGCGTGGAGAGAGAGTGGGGAGGCAGTGAGATGCCGCGGAAGGGGGCCGGGCCCCGATGGATGGATGCTCTCCCCGGCGCCCAACCAAAACCGCACCCCTTACCTCCTAGCCCCCTTCCACTTCCCCGCCAAACGGGTGTCCCCTCCGGTGGGGCCAGTCTAGGTAAACCAGGGCATGCCCCTTCCTGACCTCGTGGTCTGGCTGCAGCTCACACCCCAGACAACTCCTTCATGGGCTTCGTGTCCGAGGAGCTCAACGAGACAGAGAAGCAGCTCATCAAAGATGGCAAGGCCAGCAACATGGCGGTGGTGTACGGCAAGGAGGCGAGTATCTGGAAGGTGAGACCCGCCGACCCCCAGCCCCCAGGAAGCTCCCACCCCCCAGCCCCGGACGGTGGAAACGGCCCCCCAAGTGGGCAAAAAAGAACTGCCATTGGAATACCAACCTGGGACTCCTGCCTCACTCCTCTCCCTGCCCCAACTCTTTGCAACAAATTCAAACGGCTTCATCCCCCACCCTCGCTGGTATAGATCCACAACACTAACCCACCAAAGGGGTTTAGGCTACATGTGGGGATTCTGGGGGTGGGAGGCAGGGGAGAAATAAGAGAGGACTGGGGATTGTCCCAAGAAGCACCATCTGTGTGGGATGTTACCGCTCACCTGGCCACTGACCTGTTCTCTCTCCTCTTTTCTCTCTGCCCCGCTGGCAACGAGGCAGCTCCAGGTACGGTGACTGTTTGCCGCATGTTCCTTCCACCTCCTGCTGCTCCCCGCTCTCCTCAGGGTCTCCCCTGGGAGTGCTCCCAAGTTGGGCTTTCTGGGCTTGGTAGTGCCTGTGGATGGACCAGACCGAGGTGGGAGGAGGGTGATGGGGACATCGGGGTCTCAGGTGGGCTCTCTCTGGGGCCTGGAGGTCAGGGTGCAGCTCGGTGTGGAGCAGGGCAGCTCCTAGGATGGACAGCTGACCTAAGACAGGTGACATGAGGGGAAAGGTTAATAATAAAGATGCCCATCGTGGGAACCGTTGGGCAGCCCCCATACCCCGTGTCAAGCTGTCACATGACCATCTTAGTTAATGATTTTCACGCTGTATGGATCAGGTCCGGCTGTCGAAGAAAAGCCCCGACTAACCGTGCTTGAGACAAGAGGGAAGTGTGTCCTCTTTCCCGCTGACAAGCTCTGGAGCTGTCAGTGTTGGGTTGACCCCTGGGGCTCCGCTCCCCTGGATGACTCGCTGTGTTTAGTGTTCATCTGCAGTCTTGCTTCGTGGTTTTAGCTGACCACAGGCAGTGCAGTCATTACATCTGCCCTTCAGGCGGTGGTGCGGGGTGGGGGGGGTTTGGAGGAGGAGGAAGGCCAGGTTTAGCATATCTCCCGAACATTACACACAGCTCTGCGCCATGTGGCCCCGTGGCTGGGTCTCAGTCCTGTGGCCACAGCCAGCGTTAGGGGACTTTGGAAATAGGTGTGGTTTAGCCATGTGTGCTCAGCTTAGCCCTGGAGCTCTGTGACTGAGGAAGGGGGAGGAATTAAGGGACATCTCATGATCTGTGCCCAGACAACCCTATGAGGTCTCAGCCATGGTTAATACTCATCCAGCCAGAGCTTACTGTTGCCAGGTGCTCACGTGTATTTTCTCGCTTGACCATCAACTGTGGGGTTAGTATGACCAACTAGTTAAGTGGGTGGGGCTGGGATTCGAACCCACATCTAACGCCAGAGCCAGGACCCTTAATAGCCTCCTCGGTTATGACGCCTTGGATGGTGGCAGAGAGAAGCTCTGAGGCTGGACTAAGGGTCCAAGCCCTGTCTGAGACGTCAGTGCCCACCGTGGAGTGTGGGGACAGAAGCAAGGGGTCATTTTCACATGATGCCAGACAAGATGGCTGCCAGGATGCCTGGGGCACTGGGCAAGGGAGTGAGCACAGACAGTGTCTGCTTGTGCCAGAGAACACTGTTCAGAGACTGCCCGAAGAGAATGAGAGGTCATGAGATCTGGGAAGAGAACGGTTTTATCTCGGGCTCAGGAGATTCTGGGATAGCCAGGAGCAATGCTGTATAACAAGAGACCTCAAAGAAGCTGCTTCCAAAAAAGACATCTTTGCTCTGGTCTTTGTGACCAAAGGCAGGCAGAGGCGGCCGGGTGAAGAAAGGAATGGTGGCAGCATTCTGGACAAATGCCATCTGGAGTTCAGGGTACCGGGCGGCAGAGAGGTGGAGGAGGAAGAAGGTGCACTTGTCACATCCTTAGGGGAACGGCAGCCGGGATCAGGGCGAGAGTTTAGATGACTTTTGTGTCGAGGAGGTTTGTCTTATCCTGGGTCCCCAGAGCTGGAGGCTAAGGCTTAGATACTGCTATTTTATGAGAGTCTGTTCCAGGGACCGGGAGTGAGAGGATGGGAGAAAGATTGCTTATCCAGGTGCAGGGCAAATCCAGCCTTGCTACTGGAAGAATCATTCCGGACATCAGAAGTGCCAGGTGGGGGACCTAAGGTCGGCTTTTCAAACTGCATCTCAGCTTTATTTTTTTTTTGTTTTTCCTCCTTAGGTTTACTGAGGTATAATTGACAAAGAGAAATTGTATGTATTTAAGGTGTACAACATGATGGCTTGGTGTACATATACATTGTGAAATGAGTACCTCCATCAAGCTAATTAACACAGCCATCATCTTGCATATTTTGTGTGTGCATGGTGAGAACATTGAAGGTTGACTCCCTGGGAAAATTTCAAGTGACAGTACAGTTTGAGTAACTACAGTCACCATGCTGGATGTTAAATCCCTGGGTTTATTCATCTTGTAACTGAAAGTTTGTCCGCTTTGACCCCCATGGTCCTGTTTCTCCCACCCCCAGCCCCTGACACTCACCATTCTACTGTTTCTATGAGATTGACTCTTTTCAATTCAAGAGATGAGTGAGATCCTACAGTTTGTCTTTTTCTGAGTCTTAATTAGCCTTTCTAAATGAAGTAGGATAGCCTAGAAACAATAGAATAAAAGGATATCAGAGGACTTTATATGTATTAAGGGTAACTATTGTTTTGTAAAACTTTACATTTACACACATAAATACTCACATATGTATGTATGTGTATATATGATTAGGTGAAGAAAAGTTGGTGAACAGCGCATGTGACACGAACCCATTCGTGCCTGTATGTGTGTGGTTTAAAGAAAATGTACATCTGCTTATCATGCATAAAAGATCTGAGGAAGGCACTTGAGACACTGTTAACAACAGCTGCTCTGGTAATGGGGTCAGGAAGTTGAACAGGGGCTTTGAAGACATTTTATTCACACGCTACATCCTTGATTTGATATTTTTATGGGAGCATGAGTCAATTTATAATAAGTAATCCTTTTTACATTTGGTGTGATGACTGATATTATCTGACTCTGAATCTACTATTTTATTAGTTGGTTTCTTTTTTCTTTTCTGTTTTAAAAAATAATTTATGTATTTATTTATTTTTGGCTGTGTCTTTGTTCCTTCACGAGGGCTTTCTCTGGTTGCAGCAGGCAGGCTTGGTTGCCCTGGGGCATGTGGAATTTTCCTGGACCAGGGATCGAACTGTGTCTCCTGCTTTGGCAGGCAGATTCTTAACCACTGAACCACCAGGGAAGTCCTCTTTTTCTTTTTCTCAGCTGTTTCATGTTTTCCCCCCTCACTTATCTTCTTTTACATTGATATATTTTTTAAAATCCACCTTCCTTTAGCTAATTATGTTCTCATATTCTTTTGGTTCTGGTTTTCTTAGTGTTTTTGTATTCTTTCAGTTCAGTTCAGTTCAGTCGCTCAGTCGTGCCCGACTCTTTGCGACCCCATGAATCGCAGCACGCCAGGCCTCCCTGTCCATCACCATCTCCCGGAGTTTACTCAAACTCATGCCCATCGAGTCGGTGATGCCATCCAGCCATCTCATCCTCTGTCGTCCCCTTCTCCTCCTGCCCCCAATCCCTCCCAGCATCAGGGTCTTTTCCAATGAGTCAACTCTTCGCATGAGGTGGCCAAAGTACTGGAGTTTCAGCTTCAGCATCAGTCCTTCCAATGAACACCCGGGACTGATCTCCTTTGGGATGGACTGGTTGGATCTCCTTGCAGTCCCAGGGACTCTCAAGAGTCTTCTCCAATGGCTACCATAAAGGTTATAACATCCACCCTTGACTTATCAAAGCCTAATATAAGTCAATACTGTAAAGCTTTTATGGGGCTGTAAAAGAATCTTTAAATGTTTTATTTCTATTCTCCCCAACTGATATGCTCTTACGGTATTTTAATACTGTCCCAATATTTTATACCACACAATATATTAGTATTATTGTTGTTTTATAAAGTCAGTGTTTATTTACGTTTACCCACATCTATCCTTTTTATTGATTTGTGTTCCTTCCTACGTCACTGAGATTCCATTTAGGATCATTGTCCTTCTCTAGAAGGAAACACCCTAGTCTGGGTTTGCTCTGTTTTTTATTTTTCTAAAAATGCCTTAGTGGTTATGTTCATCATGTACAAATTCTAGCTTGTCCTCTGCCCTCTATCATTTCGCTGACAAGTCACTGTGGGTCTTATTGTTCCTTTAAAGGTAATTTGTGTGTGTGTGTGTTTCCCTTTGCCTGCTTTTGAGGCTTCTGTTTATTTGGTTTTCGGGAGTTTCACTAAAATAAGCCTCAGTGGTTTTTGTTGTTTGTTTGTTTTGTTTCTTATCCTACACGGAGTTTGTAGATCTTCTTGGCTCTGTAGTTTGAACTTTCACTAATTTTAGAAAGTTCTCAGCTACCATTTCTTTAAATATTGCTTCTGCCCCAATGTCTCTCCTTTTTAAAAAAAAATTTGGCCAAGCTGCACATCTTGTGGGATGATAGTTCCCCAACCAGGGATTGAATCCACACTCCCTGCATTGGAAGTCAGAGTCTTAACCATTGGACCACCAGGGATGTCCCTGTGATCCATTTTGAATTAACTTTTATATATGATATGAAGTATGGATTGAAGTACTTCTTCCCCTGTCCTTTAAAAACAATTTTTTTTTAATTTGTATTTTCTTCCTCTCTCCTTTCCTTTTTTCTTTTTGCATATGGATATCGAGTGATCTGTGACCGTTTGTTGAAAAGACTGTCTCTTCCTCCACTGAAATGTCTTTGTGTCTTTGTCAGAAATCAATTGACCCCACATGTGTGGGTCTATTTCTGGACTGTCTGTTCTGTTCTATTGATTTATCTGTCTAACTAGATGCCAGCATCACAGTCTTGATTACTGTAGCTTTGTAATAAGTCTCGAGATCAGATAAGTCTGCCCACTTTCTTCTTTTTCAAAGTTATTTTGTCTGTTCTAGGTCCTTGCATTTTCAAATGAGTTTTAGAATTAGCTTGTCAATTTCTATAAAAATGCCTGCTGGGATGTTGATTGGGATTTCATTGGTTCCTTTTTTTTTTTTTTTTCCTTTTTGAGTTAGGGGTGGTTCTGGAAAGTGAATATGAAAAATCGTAGAAATAACTTGATGTCAAGAATAATGCTCTCTTCCTCCAGAGAGGATTTTCTTTTATTCTTGGTTTAGAACTGAGGCCCTTGCAATCCCAGATTGCCTCTTTTGTTTTGTTTTGTTTTTTGGCTATGCTTAATGGCATATGGCATCTTCATTCCCCAATCAAGGATTGAACCTACGCCCCCTGCATTGGAAGAGTGGACTCTTAACCACTGGACCGCCAGGGAAGTCCCCTAGATCACCTTAGTTAGTGATAGTGATTGAGACCATTTGTAAAGAATTCAGCCTCTGTTAACTGTGCTTCTAGTTCTGATCCACCCTTTCATCCGTGTTGTAATTTCTCAGAATTCTAACCCAAAGTGTAGTTTCCATCAACATTCCCTATCTTTGGTAGGCCTTGAACTTGGACTTTCATCTCCCAGGTCTGCTCAGCTGCCTAGATCCTGCCCTTGGAATCAGCGGGTGGGCCCCCCAGGAGGAAAACCAAACCCAACACTGGCCTCAACATTCTCTTTTTCTCTTTCTCCCAGGTCTTGGTCTCGTAATTTTTCATTCTTTGTTAGACTTTCAGGGCAATCATAGATGTTTTTCCCATCTTTCCTGGTCATTCTCAGAGACAGGGCTGATCTGCATTACCCAATGTGTAAGGCCTTCTTGTGAAAAATTTATGCACTTTGAGTTTCAAAATGTGAATTGTTAATTATTTTAATATTTGTTGATAACATTCTTCAAGAGCTGTGGTTTATAAACTAATCCTGGGCTGGAGCTCCTGGTGGTCTGACTTTGTGCTGACTGGTAGGACATGGGGAACCATGGGTTCTTTTTCTCTGACCCATTGATCTACTGGGAACCAACATGCCCTGAAAAGAGCTCTAAGCCCTGCCCTGATTCATGATCTTGTAGCTACTTTCCCCTCAACTTATCCCTTCCTTTCTTCTGCAAGCCTCAAAAAACTCTAAAAAATAGAACCCAGCAGCTGATCCCAGGACCTTATTCCTACTGAGGTCCTACACTGACCACAGCTCCCAGCTCAGGACCCGGGCTGTAGGGTCAGATGGGCGCCCAGGCGCTGAGGTGTGATCTATTCATCTATACTGCACACCTCTGCAGAGGTCCTCAGAGGTCATTAGGGTTCAGAGGAGGCCAGGTAGCTCCATTTGTTGCTCAGTCACTAAGCATGTCCAACTCTTTATGACTCCATGAACTGCAGCACACCAGGCTCCCCTGTCCTTACTGTCTCCTGCTCAAACTCATGTCCATTGAGTTGGTGATGCCATCCAACTATCTCATCCTCTGTTGTCCCCTTCTCCTCCTGCCCTCAGTCTTTCCTAGCATCAGTGTCTTTTCCAGTGAATCGGCTCTTCTCATCAGGTGGCCAAAGTACTGGAGCTTCAGCTTCAGTATCAATCCTTCCAGTGAATACTCAAGGTTGATTTCCTTTCGGGTTGACTGGTTTGATCTCCTTGCTCTCCTAGAGCTCTCAAGAGTCTTCTCCAGCTCTACAATTCAAAAGCATCAGTTCTCTGGTGCTTAGCCTTCTTTATGGTCCAACTCTCACATCCATACATGACTACTGGAAAAGCCATAGCTTCAACTAAACAAACTTTTGGATGCATTGGATGTTGGTTTCTATGGGAGACGTTTGGAAGACAACAGGTCCATGGCTAAACAGGCCTAGTGCCCCTGGTCTAGTCAAACCTCTGCAACTCACAGATAAAGAAATTGAGGTCCATAGAGGAGAGGGGGACGTCTTCAAGGTCACACAGCTGGTTAGGAACCAACCTGACATTGGGCCCGTGTTTTCTGACTTCCCGACCAGTGATGTCTCTTCAGTGGCCTCTGCCATCTGTGGTCAGAGCAAGGCCCCCATCTCCTCCTCCTCCTCTTCCAGGGGAAGGAGAAGTTCCTGAGCATTCTGAACAAGTACATGGAGGTCCACGGCACTGTGTACTACGAGAGCCAGCGGCCCCCCGAAGTCCCGGCCTTTGTGAAGAACCATGGCCTCTTGCCGCAGCCTGAGTTCCAGCAACTGCTGCGCAAGGCCAAAGTGAGCCCCACCCCTTCCTCCATCTTCACCTCAACCCAGCCATAGTCGCCCAGGAGGGAGCCCATACATGCCTGCCACATCTGCCACCATCATTCGTGCCCCCTTCTACGTGTGGACATGCCCCTGCACACTCTGCTGCCCTGAACCTCCTGTCCAGGTCTCCTAGGTGCTAGTCGGAGCCAGGGCTAGAGATAGGGATATCCATCAGGGAAAGGGAGCTGGGTGGTGTTCATTGATGTGAAAAGGCTTCCCACCTGCTGCCCCTTAATACCAGTCCAGACAACTCCTGGGTCAGGCGTGGATTTCAGAGTCACTGAGGGGGTAGAAAGGCTAGGGGCAAAGGAAGGAGCAGCAGCCAGGCTAGAGTTCCATCGGGCCACTGACTGCTCCTGGAAGTCCCTGAAATGTGTCCTAGGAGCATGATCCTGCTGTTAGGCCCTGAAGTGTCAGCTGAAGCTGGAAGGTCTCTAGCCAGCTGATAGGTCCTCTCCTAATCTGATGATAGCTCCTTTCCTTAGGCATCTTGGATATGTGTGGTATGTATGTGTTGGAGTGGAAGAAGATACCTTTGTGCGGTGAGCAACCTCAACATCCTTACATGGCAACCCCAGATTAAGAATCACTTATATCATCTTCCAGGGGCCAACCCTATGAGCACTCCTCCTAGTACAAGTCAGGTGCTGAATCAATGTCTTTTGGGTGAGTGAGTAAAGGTCCTTTGAGGTCAAATGTAGGAGTGGCCTGAAGCCTTGTAAGCTTGGGAACCCTTGTTCTTCTCTTTCCTCTCCAAATCATAGTCTTTAGAGCAGGAAGAGGCCATTGATATTACCTAAATAGACCTCATTTCACAATGGCCAAGGCACACAACTGGCCTGTACTCCCTACTGCCCCGATTGCCTCCTGTGAATGTCCTGATCTCAACCTCACCCCCAACTTCTTGGGGCTCCTGGGCTGTGATACCTAACCTTCCCTGATCATCATGCCACCTTGGTTCTGCAGCTCTTCATAGGGTTTGGCTTTCCCTATGAGGGCCCTGCCCCGCTGGAGGCCATCGCCAATGGCTGTGTCTTCCTGCAGTCCCGGTTCAGCCCACCCCACAGCTCCCTCAACCACGAGTTCTTCCGGGGCAAGCCCACCTCCAGAGAGGTGAGTGGGAAGGGCCTGAGCCCACATCCAGGGGCTCTGAGATGGGATCCCAAAGTTCCTGGAAGGGGAAGACTGAAGCCTGGGATGAAGGGAGAGATGGCCCAGATGGGTGGGGGCACCTCCCCTTCACCCAGCCCAGCTTGGCAGCACAGGGAAAAGCCGCCTGTCTCTGTGCCCTGGCTAGGTGTTTTCCCAGCATCCCTACGCAGAGAACTTCATTGGCAAGCCCCATGTGTGGACCGTCGACTACAACAACTCAGAGGAGTTTGAAGCAGCCATCCAGGCCATCATGACAACCCAGGTGAGGCTCGGATCCAGTCAGGACCGCCAATATCCTGTACTTTGCGTCTTTGCTATAATTGGAAAAAGATGCTCCTCTTGGTGAATTCAGACTTGCAGGCCTGGATTGGCAAATTTGCACAGGGGCCTCACTCACCAACTTGGATATGTGTGTGTTTGTCGAGGAAGTGGAGATGGAAATATGCTTTTGTGCAGTGGGCAGCCTGCACAACCTTACATGGCAGCCCTGGATCCAGAGTCACTTTTTGAATGTCTTTGGAGGCCAGGTTTTGTTAGCACAAGTTAGGTGCAGGGTGGTCTCCAGGGTGAATGTGTGAAGGTCCTTTGGACTCTTGGTGTCTCTGTGGTCTTGGGCAGCACATCTGAGTGCACACAGATCACCTGGGATCTTGTTAAAGCCCAGGTTCAGATTCAGCAGGTTGGGTGGGGCTGACGCCCTGCCTTTCAGACCACATCTGGGGTGGTGCTGGTGGTGTCACCTTTGGGTAGCAAGTGGGTGGAGCATTTGGGTTTTCTCCAGCAAGTAGGTGCTGGGGGTGGGGTGCACTTGTGTAAGGGAGGAGGCAGGGAGGGGTCTGTGGAACTCCTCTCCTCTCCCGGCACCTCTGGCATCTGAGAGTTCCCTGTGTGTTCTCATGGTCCCTTTATATAGAGAAGAGGTCAAGACTGTGTGAACGGGGTGGAGGTGAGGGGTTTCTGCTCACCACAATCCCTCTGGACCCACTTCTTGCGGTAGCTCGGACCCCCGGATGAGCCAAAATAACCACTCCTGCTGGGTCCTCTTCCCTGCCCAGTACCACGTGTTCGTTCGTTGAGTGTGCCCTCCCTGGGGGGATGTGTGGCTCAGGGTGGGCTTGTGGCAGAGTCAGAGAGCGTGTGGGGCAGGGGCTCTACAAGGGAGAGCCATGCCCAGGAGGACGCCTGCCTGTGGGGGGAGCTGGGGGCACTGCTGGGCTCAGGGCAGAGGCCAGCAGGCATAGATCCCCCTACAGTCTTAAATACTTAACTCTGGGTCCAGAGTTCTGCCTGGTTGTCCTGACCATAGGCAGGTTTGCGTTTTTTTTTTTTTTTTTTCTTTTTTGCAGGGGGCAGAGGGCCACACCATGTGGCTTGTGGGATCTTAGTTCCCTAAACAAGAATTGAGCCCCATGTCCTAACCATTGGACATTTTTTAACACCCTCTTGCACCCCATGGGTCAGTCCCTCCCACTCAGCCCTCTCCACTTAGCCCACCCTCTCAGCAAATGGCCCCAGAGAGTCCCTTCCCCTACCCACTACACCCTTGTCCTTCCCTTCTGAGTGGGTGTGATTGTTTCTTTAGAGAAAGTGCCAAGGAAACTGCCGTGTTACAGCCTAGGTACACCTCTAGTTGTAGCAGACATGGCCAGGTTGACCTGCAAAGCAGCTGAACCCCGGGACCCTCCATCAGTGGTGCGGGGAGAGCCCTCCACCCGCTTCTGAAGCATCCACGTAAGCAAATCCTCCTCTGTTGGGAGTTCCTCCAGGTCACAGACTGAGACTGGGTTCTTCCAGGAGCTGACCCCAGACAGGGATCTGACTACAAGTAGTTTATTTGGGGGTGATCCCAAGAAGGAAGGTTCTAGAGTGACAGTGAGTCAGGGTGTGTAATGGAGAAGGTTACCTCTGCCTGCAGGCAGCTGGTGCTCAATGCTAGCAGGGACCTATGAGAGGTGGGGTGCTCAGATCCTGAGCTCTCCTACCTGAGAAATGAGGAAATTGAGGTGTTCCTCCCCCAGCTCCATCCATCGCTGGATGGGTGGGGGGTGGGGGAGGGGTCAGCTCTCAACACGGGGCTGAACAGGCACCTCCATGGAAGGTATGGGGGAGGGTGCTGTGGGATGCTACCCTGGAGAAGCCCCCAACCCTCTGCCCACCCCTTGCCAAAGCAATCATCCGAGGCTTCCACCTGGAGGTGGGAGCAGAGGTGGGGGTAAGAGGGGGACCTCCGAAGGCTTTTGTCCACTCCAGGCCACAGGTCTGGCCCCACCTCCAGGATCCCTCCCTGGAGAGAAACTCAGTGAGGGAGATCCCAGCCCTGTGGACATGGTTTTCCCAGATGCAGACCTAAAATGCAGGGGGTGGGGGGGGGTGGTCTGTGCAGGGGAGCCCGTTCATCTATTCACGTGTTATTTCTGGTTGGACACACAAGAAACTGATAACGTGCTGCCCCCAGGAAGAGTCTGGGCATCTGGGTCAGAGGAAAACTTCCTTTGTCTCGTTTTCTCTTGATTTTTTAAAACCATGAACATCTGTTTAATTGTGTTAATTAGTTAATTAAAAATCACAGGAACATAAGGGTCCGGGAACTAAGGTATTGCAGATTCACCAGGCTGACTCTTGTAGCTGGACTCCAAACTAGCCCGAGGCTCCTCTGCCTTTAACCACCCCCACTCCTACCCCACCTCCCAGTTAGCCTGGAAGGTGTTTAAAATGCAGACTCTTGGGCCTGTCCCCAGCTTCTGATTTCAAAGGACCGGTGTGGCTTGGAGTCTGCGTTTTACTCTCTTTTTAAAAATTTATTTTAATTGGAGGCTAATTACTTTACAATATTGTGGTTTTTGCCATACATTGACATGATCAGCCACGGGTGTACATGTGTGTCCCCCCTGCCCCAACCCTGTCCCGATCACCCCTCCCACCTCCCTCCCATCCCATCCCTCTGGGTTGTCCCACAGCACCGGCTTTGAGTGCCCTGTTTCATGCATCCAACTTGGACTGGAGTCTGCAGTTTAAACAAGCCCCCTGGGTAAATCTGATCATCCTAGTTTAGAAAACAGAGATAGTTGGCAGGAGCTCAGAGAGTGAATGAGGGCCGCTATCAGGGCACACAGCTTCTTCTGCAAGTCGTGGGGCCTTTTGTAGGGAGAGGGAGGCGGAAGGGCTGAGACGGACCTGAGGCACCAGCCCGGCAGCCCCCACCCCTTGCCTGCCACCCCCACCCCCCGCCACGCAGCGAGGAGGCTCCAGGTGGGGGCTCTTTTCAGGTCTCTCAGCCTCGGTGGGTTTGCCCTTCAAGCATCTCTCTGTCCAGGGTGAGGCCATTCGAGGTGAGGGGAGGGAGAGGAGGGGAAGGGAGGTGGGGGAGGGACGCCTGCTTTCTCCCCGCCCGCCGTGCTCATTATCACAGGCTGGTAATTCCAGCAGGACCAGCACCTGCCATTCTGTGAGACGGATCACTGTGCACACCTGTAATTAGACCTAATGGGGGTAATTTCCAGGCAGGCTGGCTTGTCCGGTGGGAGATTCACGGCAGGTGGGATGTGGCTGCTCTGAATGGTCCCCTCATGGGGGGAGGGGGGCACGGCTTTGAATCACTGCATGATGGGCTTCAAACCACAAGGGGGATAACTCGGTGGCTGCTGCTAGAGCAGGCAGTGACATTTGGAGGGGAAGTCTCTTCTCCAGGGGGTTTATTTATAACCAGGACTTGAAGCCTCGTACCCGAGGCGACTGGGGAACTGCTAGGGCAGCAGCTGGCGGCCGGGGCCTCGGCGGCCAGCAGCTCGGGCTGGGACTGACCATGCAGAGCTCAGGGCTGAAAGGCTGTGCTGGTTGATGGGCTGTGAAGGATGTGGCTGGGTGTGGACCCAGGGAATTCTCTGGGACCCCGGAACTGCCCCCGGATTAAGGACACCTGCTTCCAGTGCAGGTGAAGTGCGGGCTGGGGCGAGGCCAGGTGGGAGGGGTCTTGTCCCGAGACTCGGTCCTGGTGGTGGCTGCCGCTTCCCAAGACCCTCCTCAGCTTGATGTTGGGCATGTCGCCCTGGTCGGAGGGCTCAGGACGGGCCTGCGGACCCTCGAGGCGGGGTCTCCAGGAAGCAGGGTTGGGCCCTGACTCCACCCACCTCTGATGAGGAGGAAGGGTGAGTGGGTTGGAGCGGGGGAGTGTGGCCTTGAGCAGACCTGCAAGATTTCACTGCCAGGGCTGAAGCTACCTGATTTCTGGCGCTGCTGGCTGGAAAATGGCATTAACAGGAGGTGGGCTGGCTAGGTGTGGTGCCAACACACACACACACACGGTGATGGGGCAGGGGTGTTGAAGGCTAAAACAGATCTCTCTCTGAGTCTGAGATGGACTATCTCCCATGTCAGCCTGACCTTGCCTCCTGCCCACCTGGCCGATCTTTCCTCCAAGCTGGCTGTGTGCTGGGCCACCGGGGGGTTGGTGTAAACAGGGCAGGGATGGCCAGGTAAGAAGAGTGGAGGAGAGGTGGGGGTCCCCACTCCAGGAGGCGGATTCCTCATCACTTCCTCTCTCTCTTCCCTTCACTTCTCGGGCCCCAGCTGCCAAATCCATCTGCTCCCATCAGCCCCAGCGTGCACTGCTCTGTAACTTTGATATTTAGGTGGACAGTATGTGGCCTCCGTTTGGGGCCCCCTTGTTTATGGAGCTCCCAGATACCTGGTCTGGGCAGGAAGCTTCACAAATGTGATCTCATTCCATCAAGCTGAGAGATGCCTTGCGTTCCTTTGTGTGAACCTTCTGCATCCTGGGCAGGACACAGGCAGAGCCAGGATACTTTTCTGTTCTGTGACCACTTCCCTGGTGACGACTGTGTACCAGGCACTGGGTGAAGCAACAGGTGGACAAGCATGGTCCCAGAACCCATGGGGCTGCTAACCTGAGGGAGACAAGGGACATGTCAGAAATGATGACACAGGTGCCCGTTCTACTGGGGAAGCCTGGCGTGGGGGCCAAGGAAAGTGGTCTTTTAACAGGAGTTAAACAGGAGGTGGTACTCTGGGTCTGCTTCCTGGAGGCAATGATCCCTAAGCTGTGCTGTGCTTAGTCACTGTCGTGTTGGATTCTTGGTGACCGCATGGACTATATAGCCCACCAGGCTCCTCTGCCCGTGGGGATTCTCCAGGCAAGAATACTGGAGTGGGTTGCCATGCCCTCCTGCAGGGAATCTTCCTGACTCAGGAATCAAACCTGCATCTCCTGTGTCTCCTGCATTGCAGGCGGATTCTTTACCAACTGAGACACCAGGGAAGCCCAAGAATACTGAAGCGGGTAGCCTATCCCTTCTCCAGGGGAACTTTCTGACCCTGGATTGAACCGGGGTCTCCTGCATTGCAGACAGATTCTATACCAGCTGAGCTGAGCTACCAGGGAAGCAAAGAATACCGGAGTAGGTTGCCGTTTCCTTCTATAGGTGCAGTTCCTGACCCAGGGATAGAACCCATGTCTCCTGCTGGTGGCTTCTTTACCACTGAGCCACCTGGGAAGGTGAGGATGTATCCAGGGGTTGGCTCAGAAAGAGCAGACATCACAGCCCAAGTGGAGATGGAACAATGAGCTTCAGGGAAAGGGAAGAAATGGTGTAGCTGGAAGGGAGCTGAGGAGAGATGAGCTGCCCTGAGCCCCTGGGGGCCACTACGGGGTGCTTTGGGGATCAGGGCGTCCTAGTGGATGGGGTGATTGGCTCGCTGAGTGCAGGATGCCTGAGCCCCGAGATCTCTGCTCCCAGAGCCAAGCGGCCGGGTCTGGGGAGCCCCAGGGTTTCTCCTGACCCATGTGTCTGCCTGTCTCTCCCACAGGTGGACCCCTACCTGCCCTACGAGTACACGTGTGAGGGGATGCTAGAGCGAATCCATGCCTACATCCAGCACCAGGTGTGTGGGTCCCCCACTCTCTGTCTCCGGGGTGGGGCAGCTTCAGAGTCTGAGGACCCACCTCTGCCTGGGGTACAGGGTGCTTTAACCCCCTAGTCTTTCTCCAGTCTGTTTCCTTCCCTGGAGCGCCCCTCTCCTGGACCCCCAGCTCTAGCATCCCAGGCTCCATATCATAGTATGGTAATGCAATGACTTTTATTTTTCATTTTATTATAAAGCTGTTTAAAAGTTTGGTAGCAAGTGAGGGGGTAGGAGGGTGTAGGTTGAGTTGGCAGGAGAGAGGCACCCCATTTTTTCCTCCTAACACTGCTTTCCTCCTGCAGGACTTCTGTGCATCCCCGGGGCCTGCCCCACCTGGGGCCCGAGCCCCGCAGAGCCCTTTCATCCTGGCTCCCAACGCCACCCACCTGGAATGGACCCGCAACGCCAGCTTGGCCCCGGGGGCCTGGCCCCCAGCGCACTCCCTCCGGGCCTGGCTGGCTGCCGCGGGGAGGGCCTGCACGGACGCCTGCCTGGACCACGGGCTGATCTGCGAGCCCTCCTTCTTCCCCTTCCTCAACAGCCAGGACGCCTTCCAGAAGTGAGTGAGCCCCTGCCTGACCCGGCCCAGCTGACCTCCCCTGTAGCCCCTCGCTCCCTTGACCGCCTTGCCTCCTGGCCTGCCAGCAAGGGTGAGGGGGACTCAGTGCTTCCCTGAGAGGAAGGATCTGGAAGGCACCTTCCAGGCAGGATCCACATTGCAGCTCTACACCCTTGGCAAAGCCTCAGACCCCTGCCCAGCCTGTCTGGGCATCTAGGTCCAGGCTGCAGAAACTGCCCCATTCCCCTGATGCGTCAGCCTGTGGCCCCACCCTCCTGCCCACTCTCTCAGGAGCTGCCCACCCCAGCATTTCTCCCAGCGCCTCCTAGCAACCTCCCTGGGTCTGGAATGGGTGGGCCGGGGCAGGGGAAATGGGCAGTGACCACCTCTGGTGGTGCCCACCCAGGCTGCAGGTGCCCTGTGATGGCATTGAGTCAGAGATGAACCACCTGTACCCGGCCTTCGCCCAGCCCGGCCAGGAGTGCTTCCTGCAGAAGGAACCTCTGCTCTTCAGCTGCGCCGGCTCCAGCACGAAATACCGGCGGCTCTGCCCCTGCCGAGACTTCCGCAAGGGCCAGGTGGCCTTGTGCCAGGACTGTCTGTGAGGCCGACCACCCGGCTGGCCCTCCGCACCGCAGGAGAAAGCACCAGCAGATTCCGAGCTCCAGTGACCCTCCTTCCCCTCAACGCCCCCGAACTGAAGCCTTCTTCCTTGACCGGGACATGGGCAGGGCAGATTGGTGCGCAGGTCTAGGGAGGGGGGAGACTCTGCCAAGCACCTGGTGCCCGCCCTAGGCAGGCTCCTCGTGCTCCTCCCAGGGGCGCATGGCAGTGCAGGGCCAAGCAGCTGGGGGTTGGTGTGAGGGCCCCACTGATGGCCCAGGAGCAGGTGGCCAGAGGTCCCTTGCTTGTGCAAGACCAGATCTGAACTAGATGGAGAGGGCTCTTGTCCTTCTTGGGCCCAGGAGGGGCCCTCTGGATATACGACAGTGGAAGCAGGGTGAGGCTTGCTTGATGGCCCAATGAACGGTCCACAGAGTGGGGAGGGATGCGTGAGGGGTCAACCTTGTCCCTTTGGAGCTGTTTGCGATGTGGACAGAAAGGGTGGGGGGCCGGAGGGAAGGCCAGGCTGGGGGACCCTGTTTATGCCTCATATTAGCTTTCCCAAATTCCCTCTACCCTCCACACTTGGGGACTACAGTCAGAGGCTACAGGGACCACCTGGAACCTGGGTTGAATTGTCTCCCTCTTGCTTGTTCCAACTCTCTTCACTTTGGGCATTTCCCCCAGCATGACTGCAACTCCAGACCGTGGACTTGCTTCCAAAGCCTCAGGCCCCGCCCCACCTCCCAAGCATCTTTCGTAGGCTTGGGATGGACCTTCAGCCCCTCGGCACACCTGGCCTATTTCCTGGTTCCCCAGACCTGCTACCCCCTTGTGCCCTCCCACCCCATCAATGCTGCATCTGCGTCCCTACCTCCAGCTTCCTCCAGCCTCAGACCTCCTCTGGATCCAGCTGTCCATCCATCTTCGTGTGGCATGCCTTCCCCTTCACCCCGAGTCCAGAGCCCTGCTTGAGGAAAAAGACCAGGACTTCAGAAACACTGCCACCCCAGCCCAGTTGGTTTTTAACCCCACTCCCTTTCTGGAAACCTGCCCCACCCACCTAGGCCTGCCCCTCCACCCTTTCGGGGAGGCAGTCGCAGGACCCTGAGTCCAGAGAGGGGGGACTAGCCCCGCTGTGGGCCTGAGGGTGGACACCTCCCATCAGAGAGCCCTCTCGGCCTGAGTGGCCCCTGTGGCCACAGAAGCTCAGTAGCCACCAAGGACCTGACCTGTCGGGGGAAAGCAATAGAGATACTCTTTTCTCTCTCTCTTTTTTTAAAAATTTATTTCTTGAAATAATAAATATTTTATTGGGATGTGAGGTGCAGAGGAGGAGCTGTGCTATTTCTCATCTTTTTCCTGGGATGCCCAGGCCCGGAGGAGGAGTGGGGTGTGAACACCCAGGGTGGGGGGCAGATATCCGGGGCCCGTGGGCCCCTCCTCCACATCGTCACTCCATCTACAAGGTTAGTGCTGTGTCAGGCTGCTCAGAGGAAATCCCTACAGGTGTCAGAAGTCCACGGGCCCCTCCGACCACCCCAGCACTGTGACTTTAGGGACCCTGCTTGACCAGCAGGCTGTACCCGGCTCTGTCCGCCTGGGCCTGGTCTCTGCTGGCCGTGCTTGCTGTGAGGTCAGAGAACAGAAATGCATTTTGAGGAGAATCTCTGAGCTGGATCGTGATAACATGACCGACTAGGGGAGGGAGGTCAAGACAGCAGAGGAAAAAGATGAGTTCATCTCCCAACGAACACATCAAAAATACATGTACACATGGAACAATTCTCACAGAAAACCAGCTGAAAGCTGGCACAAGATCCTTCACAACCAAAGCTGCAAGAAAGATCCCCATGTAACTGGGTAGGACGGGGGTGGTGGGGGGGAGAAAGCAGGATGGAATCTGCACCCCTGGGAGGGAGCTGTGAAAAAGGAAAAGGTCCCTCATCCTGGGAACCCCCTTTGCCATTTGGGAGGCCTGCTGGGCAGACAGGGAGCTGGAATGGCCTGGTCTCTGCTCAAGAGGACTGTGCAGGTGCTGCCTTGCTGCCAGGTAGGGCAGAGAAAGACCAGCACTGAGAGTTGCCACATCGCTGTACCTCCCAGCCTGAAACACACCCCTGCCAGCATGTGCAGGGTCTGCAGTAGGCGGGGTCTCAGCTGACGGACCCCGGGAGAAGGCTCGATCTAGCGGCATAGAAATAGCCCAAAGGGCCTAGCGTGTGGTCTAGGCCACCACTGTCAGCGCATGTAAGACGGGCCATGAGTCTGCCATAGGGTCCACTGTCAGTGTGCTCAGGCAGGCTGTGGCTACAGTGGCCGCGGCTCTGCAGGGGCAGGGCTGGCATCTGAGCCGATTACCAGTGTTCCCTCAGCAGAGGTGCGTCCAGGGCGGGCCCAGCAGCAGCAGCAGACTTCCTTGTGCGCACGCTGGGCGGTGGGCAGCATCACTGAACTGCATGTCCCCCGAGGACAACCCGTGGGGAGGAATACACAAGGGTTTCTGTCCAGTAGGAGCACTCCACTCCTGCCTACCTCACACTGCAGCTTAAAGCCAGATCTGGGGTTTTTAACTCCCGACGACTGGGGAGCAGACCCTGCCCCCATCAGGGCTGTGACAACCACAGAGCAAAGAGGCTGCTCCACCCAGCATCCAGTGTAGGCCCTGGTCTCCCCAACACCAAACGTACTCCCCATCAAGAGGACAACGGCCAGCACACCCTGAGGAAAGACATAGCAGGCACCCATACCAAAAACAGCCCTCACACCAAAAATACACACAGTCTACACGGGGTCACCAGAGAGCAAAACCATACAAAAGAATCACAAAAAACTAGGAAGAAAGAACTCAAGCCCAATACCAGAGAAAACCATCAGGACACTGAAAAAAAAGAATAAAGAAGGACTATGAAGTCACCTAGAAAACAAGGTTTAAAATGGCAACAAATACACACTTATCAATAACTATTTTAAACTTCAGAGGACTAAGTGATCAAACGACACAGCATGGGGACGTCCCTGGTGGTCCAGTGGTTAAGAATCTGCCCGCCAGTGCAGGGAACACGGGTTTGATCCCTGTATAGGAAGATCCCACATGCTGCAAGGCCACTAAGCCTGTGCGGCAACTTCTGAGCCCGTGCATCAAAACTGCTAAAGTCCTTGTGCCCTAGAGCCTGTGTTCTGCGAGAAGTGAAGCCACCACAGTGAGAAACCTGCACACCACAATGAAGAACAGGCTCGGTGTGCAGCAACAAAGACCCGGCACCACCGTAAATAAATAAAGTTTTTCCTTTTCAAGTGCTCATGGAGTATTCTCCAGGATAGACCACAAGGTATGATACAAAATAAGCCTCAACAAATTTAAGAGAATAGGAATTATTTCAAGCATCTTTTCTGATCACCATGGTATGAAACCAGAAAGCAACCACTGAAAGAAAAATGAGGAGAAAAAAAGATTACATGGAGACTAAGCAACATGCTACTAAGAAATAATGGGCTGACAATGAAATCAAAGAGGAAATCAGAAAATACTTCGAGACAAGTGACAATGAAAACAAAAATCTATGGGATGCAACTAAAGCAGTTCTAAGAGGGACGTTCATAGAGATACAGGCCTTCCTCAGGAAACAAGAAAAATCTCAAATAAACAACCTAACCTACCACCTAAAAGAACTTAGAAAAAGAAGAGCAAAACCCCCAAAGTCAGAAGAATGAAGGAAATAATAAAGATTAGAGAGTAAATAAACGAAATAGAGATTTTTAAAAAAGCAAACAGAAGATCAGTTCAGTTCAGTCGCTCAGTTGTGTCCAACTCTTTGCGACCCCATGAACCACAGCACGCCAGGCCTCCCTGTCCATCACCAACTCCCAGAGTCCACCCAAACCCATATCCATTGAGTCAGGGATGCCATCCAACCATCTCATGCTCTGTCGTCCCCTTCTCCTCAGCCTTCAATCTTTCCCAGGATCAGGGTCTTTTCCAGTGAGTCAGTTCTTTGCATCAGGTGGCCAAAGTATTGGAGTTTCAGCTTCAGCATCAGTCCTTCCAATGAATATTCAGGACTGATTTCCTTTAGGATGGACTGGTTGGATCTCCTTGCAGTCCAGGGGACTCTTGAGTCTTCTCCAACACCACAGTTCAAAAGCATCAATTCTTCGGCTCTCAGCTTTCTTTATAGTTCAACTCTCACATCCATACATGACCACTGGAAAATAGCCTTGACTAGATGGACAGAAGATCAATAAGGTTTTTTTGAAAGGATAAAAAAAATCGATGACCTTCTAGCCAGGTCCAGCAACAAGAAAACAGAGAGAACCCAAATAAACAGAATAAGAAATGAAAGAGGAGAAATGACAACTGATCTCTCAGAAATAAAATCATAAGAAAACACTATGAACATTTATGTCAACAAATTGGACAACCTAGAAGAAATGGGCAAGTTTCTAAAAACATACAGCCTGACAAAATTATGTCAAGAAAAAACAGATAATTTGAACAGATTGACCTCTAGAAGTGAAATAGAATCTGTAATTTAATAAAACAAAAAACTCCCTGTAAACAAAAGTTCAGGACCGGATGGTTTCACTGGAGAATTCTAAAAAGACATACAAAGAACTTACACAAATCCTCAAACTATTCCAAAAGACTGAAGAGGAGGGAACACTCTGAAAGTCATTCTATGAAACCACCATCACCCTAATACCAAAACCAGACAAAAACGCTAGACAAGTATAGGCCAATATCTTTGATGAATATAGGTGCAAAACTCCTCAACAAAATATTAGCAAATGAATCCAGCAATATATAAAAAGGATCATACACCATGATCAAGTGGGCTTCATTCCAGAGCTGCAGGATGATTCAACATACACAAATGTGATACACCACATCAACAAGATACAAAATCCACACCGTCATCTCATTAGATGTGGTGTATATGATGTCACTTATATGTATTTAAAAGTAATAAAAATGGATTTGTTTACAAAACTGAAAGAGACAAAGCAAACCTATGGGGAAAGGATAGGGGAGACAGAAATTAGGAGTATGAAGTTAACAGATACACACTGCTACTCAGATGGCGCGAGTGGTAAAGAATCGCATGCCCATAAAGGAGACACAGGTTTGATCCCTGGGTTGGGAAGATCCCCTGGAAGAGGGCATGGCAACCCACTCCCGTGTTCTTGCTTAGAGAATCCCATAGACAGCAGAGCCTGGTGGGCTGTGGTTCATAGGGTCACCAAGAGTGGACATGACTAAAGCAGCTTAGCACACACACACGTACATAAAATAGATAATAAGGATTTACTGTACAGCACAGAGAATGACAACATCTTGTAATAATTTATAACAGAAAAGAATCTTAAATATATATATATATATATAACTGAATCACTTTGCTATACACTTGAAACTAATATAGGATTGTAAATGAGCTAGACTTCAATTCAGAAAAAAAGACCAATATTTTCTGGGCATTTATTGTGCTTCAGACACCATGCTGAGAGTTTGGTATACAATTGGTCAGTTTATGTGCTTGGCCATCCTATTAGGTAGGGACTAGTTATCCCCCAGCTGAAGCTCCAATACTTTGGCCACCTGATGCAAAGAGCTGACTTAGTGGAAAAGACCCTGATGCTGGGGAAGACTGAAGGCAGGAAGAGAAGGGGACAACAGAGGATGAGATGGCTGGATGGCATCACCGACTCGATGGATATGAGTTTGAGAAAACTCCGGGAGTTGGTGATGGACAGAGAAGCCTGGAGTGCTGCGATCCATGGGGTCGCAAATAGTCGGACATGACTGAGCGACTGAAGTGAACTGAGTTATCCCCCATTTGACAGTTGAGAAAACTGAGGTAACAGAGAGTTTAAGTAACTTGCCCAAGGTCACACAACTTTCAAGCAGTGAGATGGAATTTGCCATAAAGTAAGAATCAAATGACTCAATAGAGGGATAGCCCAGCATGGTGCCG